TATATATATATATATATATATATGCAATTCAGAATAGTAAGAGAAGTCTTAAAATATTTTGATTGTTTGGGTTTACATTGTGGATGAACGATGGAAATGGTGTACTAATGAACTGTTTCGTGAAACTTACTTCCACTTTAGCTGTATTTTCTTTAAAGCTCCTGTTCATAAGAAGGAATCAGCAGCAGGTTCAGATGTACCCCAGCCTTCCTTTGTTTCCGTGTTCCCAGCTTTCTTCCCTCAGCAGCTGTACTTCCTCTGGCTGTGTCTGCTTTGATGGTTACTTTTAGCACATTGCTCACAAGATAAAGCCTATCATGTGATTTATGTCCACATCGAAAGAGGAAGACAAATAGAAGGAACATTTCCCTATATCTACATATTTTTTGCCATTCAGCGCAGTTTCACTTCAGCCATTCGTTCTCACCAAACATTGCGATTAATTTATTAAACAGTGATTTTTATTTATTTATTGCAAAGTATTTGCTTACAGATTGTAATGCATCATATCAAATAAGATGATCCCGTCCTCAAAGTTGAGTAATAATACCTCGGAAGTGCAGTCCACTAATCACTACCTTTAACAGACTCCCAGCTGACTTGACTTGTTCAAACACCTTCAGTTTATCTTGTAAGGGCTTCAGGTGTTTCTGAAGCTCCTCTCTGTGATCCTGGGCGGCTTCTTCAGTTGGGTTGAATCTGTGGTCTTTGTGTGCTTTTGAATCTCGACAGACGACACACACCGGCTGCTGATGATCCAAACAGAAAAGTCTGAGTTTCTCATGGTGCAGACTGCAGAGAGGCTCAGACACTGCAGAAGGTTTTTTATCTCTCTGCAGTAAGAAAGCCTCACACAGGTCCTTTAACACCAAGTTACCCGGTGAATCATTTGAAAAATGTATCTTCTTGTCCCTATGCCTTCTTTGCTAATGTTTGCTTTGCTACTGCAGTTTACAGTTGTGCTATATATGTCTGTACCTACCCCCCCCCCGTTTTAAATCAATAAAATGTTGATCACAAAAAAAAAATGTATCTTCTTACAAAGTGGGCACTTGTGTTCTAGATTCTTGATCCCCCACGTCTGCAAACAGAATCGACAGAAGCTGTGGCTGCATGACAGGATGGCAGGATCTCTATAGACGTCATGGCAGACGGGACAGGAGAGATCATTTTCAGACTGGGAAGACATTTTGTCCTGGAGTGACAACAATGAAAACAAAGAGACTTCCACTCAGGACGTTTCTTCAAACTTACTTTCACTATTAGCTGTGACTTTTGTAAAACTTCTGTTTG